ATCCAACAATGTATGGTAATACAGTAAATAATTCACCATAACCAGTTTTTCTTATCCACACGTTGGTTTTTGTTCTTTCACTCATTTCTATAACCGCTTAAAATTGCGAGATTCGATAATTATTGTCAAACTTAAAATTGTGAGATTCGATTATTATTGTCAAGGTTCGAACACTACACTACACAATTACATGTACACATGTTGGAATTTTTGTGAGGAAAAATATGTCACGCTTTACAAAAAAGAATTTTGCCACCAAAAGGAAAAATATTAAATGAAAATCATTTTCATTTTTTAGAATTAAAACAAAATAATTTTAAATCAACGGCTGGGAGAAGAGATCAAGGAGGTAAACTTCAAATCGGAGGGTGGATGAGGGCAAAGCCTCACTCAAAAACGACGCATCACCCGGGAAACCTCAGCGGTGCGGAAAATGCACCAATTGCGCACGTTAGCAGTGACCCAAAGAGGAAAAGGAAAAAAGAAAAAAAAAAAAACCCGCAGTATATATAATCTGAACGTTAAAACGTTCTCTCGGAGTCTCTCAATTGGCTCTCGCCGCGCACTCGTAAACTTACGTTTCCCGGCGATATGCGAGAGAAAAACAAAACAATAACAACAACAATCTCAATAGAAAAACTCTCCCTTTTTCCCAGAAAATTCCGAGATTTTCCGAGAAAATCAGAGGAGGCGCGAGAAACAGAGAGAGAGCTGTGATCTGAGAGTGGCTCTCTTTGGTCTGAGTTTCCGATAAATGGTGTATATAGGTGGGTCGGAGGAGGAGGAGAGAGTGGAGGCGAAGTCCATGGCGATGGGTTCTGAGAGGACGAAGCCTCTGCACAATTTCAACTTGCCGTGGGATTTGAAGTGGGGGAACCAGAAGTACCTGCGGTGCCAGAAGGAGAGCTCCGACGCCGGCGGGAGTGGCGGGGAAGGGTCTGGGGTTAATCGGCGATCGTCGGCTCAGAGGATTGAGAGCTCGCCGGCGGTTATGTCTCGGCGGAGGGATTTGGAGTTCGAGAAGCGCACGTTTCGGCCCTCGAGGCCGAGGATCGAGAACGACGACGCGGAGGAAGGGATCGATGCGTTTAGGCAGAAGCTCATGTTTGATCTCAAGACGGCGGCGGATAAGATGAAAGACGAGATTTTGAGGGAGGAGGAGGTGGCAGTGGCGGGGGCGGCTGCTGATACTCACGTGGCGGCGGAAGAGGAGGATGTTGAGATGGCGGAGGTTGGTGAATCGGAACCTCCGGTGGCGCCGGAGCCACCGGAGGCGAGGCCATGGAATCTGAGGACGAGAAGGGCGGCGTGCAAGTCTCCAATCGGCGGCGGTGGTGCTGCCAAGGGGGTGAGAATCGAGGAGAAGAAGGCGAATTACTCGCCGTTGAGGAGTGAGGGTAACAATGGCGTGAAGTCGCCAAGGCTAGTCAGAGGGGCTTCGGGTTCGGGTTCGGGTTCGGGTCCGGAGAAGAATAAGGAGGAGGAGAGGCCCAAGTTCTCATTGACGCTCACCAAGAAGGAGATCGAGGAAGATTTCATGAAGATGCTCGGCCACCGCCCTCCCCGTCGCCCAAAGAGGCGGCCAAGAAATGTTCAGAAGCAATTGGAAGTAAGTCAAATTCCCAAATTCATAAATCGTGACCCTCCTTTTAGTTTCTTCCCTCTCCGCCTCTCTGTTTGTTTATCAAATTAACTGACGGCGGTTGTTGTTGACGATGGTTGTTCTTGCTGCAGGGTTTGTTTCCCGGTACGTGGTTGACGGAGGTATCGGCGGAGACGTACAAGGTTCCTGAGGTCCCTGAAAATACAAAGGTGATTGCTTTCTTCTGACTTCTCTCTCATAACCTCAAAAGTCTTCGTCTTCAAACGTTTCATTGATTTGAATGTTTGATCAACACTGAGTCACTGAAGAAACTGGGGTCTCTAAATTATGGAATTTTCCCCAATTTGGCTGATTAATTTTCTTGGGGTTTTCAAGTTTTCATGAGTTATGAAGATTATGGAATTCAAAGTTCCCGCTTTTCTTTCTTTCGCACATTTTCAAATCACAAGTTTGTTTAGTTCTGAACTGTTTGCTCATTCTTTTTTGCAGAGGTAGCGATCCGGGCAATGCCGGCTTATGTGGAGTGTTTCAAGGCTACGTTTGTTTCCTGACTGCTGCTGCTGCTTGCAAAGCTGATTAGTGGGTATGCCCACACACACATACACATTGGAGTTTTGATGAAAAGCATCAAATCCCCTGTTACTGCTGAATGTTCAGTTGCTTTGGAACTAATTTTGTTTGTTAATTATAATTCATCTACCTTTGTTTTTTCTGAATAAAATGTAAATAAGGGAAATCTGGCCGATGCGGTTATATGGAAAATAACGTTTGTGCTCCGAGCTAGGTTTTTCCTTTTCAGTGACTGTCTAATATAATATCAGTTGCATTTGGTATCAGTGTTCCCAGTGTTCATCTTTGTTTTCGTTTTCCTTCTGGGTGCATTCTTGGCCTCATACTACTTGACAATTTTGAATCTTTTACTTGTTCTGTTGATTTACATCATTTTTGAAACAAGAGATTGAAAAGAGAAGAGTGGTAGGGAATTAATTGTTTGTATGGAAACGGATTTGTAAATTTCCTTCTTTTCGGCACGTTGTAAAGTATTTAATAAACATGTTCTTTGGAATGTACTTGAACTTCTGAGCTAAATGCAAATCCAACGATGACTTGTTTTGGGTCTCGGTTTCATGGAAGTAGTGTAGCTTCAACGCTTGTAGGCTGGACCGGAAACACTTGGTTGCTCTTACTTCTTGCTTGCGTTTTGGTTTCTGGTGTGAATTTCTTGCATGGAGCCTTGGCACATAACTGCTTACCACAGACCACAATTCACACGTCACAAAATTGCCTGCTCTGCGCTGCTCAACCACCCGTATCTAACATCTTTGTTTCGCTTAATTAGTAATATTAATCTTCACTGTTCTGCAATCTTTTCATTTCTTTCCTTGCTGACTGTCATCACACTAAATTTCTGCAACATTATGCATAATACTTCCTTGGTCATTGTTTATCGGTAATCAAATTTTCGAGATTTTATCTGGTGAATAATGTCGAATTTATGAAATTTTTAGCAATATAATGCTCGTCATTTGCATCCTATCCTTCTGGTATGAGATGGATAATCTTTGTTTTCTTGTTTTGTTTATTGCCTATAGGAAGGCATGCTACTGTTTAAAGTCAATCCTTCACAGATTCCATCATACTCTTAAAACAGTATGGAGTTCTGTACGTTGGTGATCCTTGATCAACGTCCCGTAATCAATGATCTTAGCATTTGCTGTTGCATTGTATCACTGACACGAGATTTCGCGGTGATCTCCAGTGCGCGGAGAAGTCTCTCTCTTGCTATCTGGTCTCTGCAGGACCTTTTCCCATCCTGCGATTGGCCTACCCCATAGCCTACTTATTTGTTTGACTTGCACTTTGACTCGTGGGTTTTGTTCCGGGAACTGGATGACCTGTCATTCTTTTGGCAGAAACCCGTGTGTAACTCCAAGGCTGTTGTTTGACTCGGCAACTTGTCCTTGCCGTGATTACGCGTTCGCCTATAGTAGTTGTCTTTGGGTTCTCAGTTCCAAGTTTCCTGTCGTTCAATTGTTGAGGCCCAACCCAGTTGTACCTCCATTTAAGGGGCCTTTTGCCGTCCATGATGGCAGCAGAATGTTGCAATAGAGCGTGCTCATGCTCCTCAGACCGCCACATTGTTGCTTTGATTATGTATCGTGTACGAAATCAGCCAAATTATCCAATTCCGTAATGGAATAATCCAATTTCAGGAATTTAATTAAGGGGGAGGTTTTAATCCAATTTTCTTTTCTTACTTTTTCTCGTTCTGAAGTTATCCGATGTCTTCTTACCTCATTACTGATAAGTAAATGAGCCTTGTTTTCTGATTTCGACCGTGTCTTTGTTATTGTTTGAGCTTGAACTTCCTCCCTCCTCCTTGTTGCCGCAACTTTTTCTTGTTGCCAGTGTTTGTAGCTGTTTTAGCTAATGAAGTTACTATTTGCCAAATAAAAACAACGAGCCATCACCCAAAATCTTCCGACATTATACAGAGAAACAAATCATTTTGACACAATATTCTAATCTAAACTACTCTAACCTACGGGGAATGAGAATTTGAATTTGAACGAAGGGAGACAGACACACTGCACTGTCCAACTGACCCAACCCACGTCTGTGAGAGAGAAACTTTTGAGCTAGCTTCATGGAACCAAAGTGTAAATAACGAGCAATCGCCCAAAATTTTTAGACATTATACAGTGAAACAAATCATTTTGATGCAATATTCTAATTTAAACTACTCTAACCTACGTAGAATGAGAATTTGAATTTGAACGAAGGGAGACATACACATTGCACTATCTGACCGACCCAACCCACGTTTGTAAGAGAAACTTTTGAGCTAGCTTCATAGAACCAAAGTGTAAATTATTAAATTAAAAGTTTAAGCCCCCTTGGCCTCTATGATTGATTGTTAACATTCCCTTGAAGCACACTGTTTTTGTCCTAATCCTACAATATAAAAACAAAAATGAAGCATCTTATGCAAATCAATTATTTCTAAACTCTAAATATACAGAAAACCAAAAGAATTGTTTTATCAAATTTCAAAAGAAGAAAAAGATAGTCAAATTTACTTATTTAGAAATTTGAAAAGGAATCAAAAAGCAGAAAAGAAAGAAAGGGATGTGAGAGTTGTTCGTCTGTCTCCTAACCCAGTAACATGATAAAGCATCCACATTTACTGGGACAGACATCATTCCTGGATTTTATTGTCAACAGTCTAAGAACAGGTAATCCGGACGGTTCAAATTGAATTTAACGGTGCTATTAACTTATTATGCTCCCGTTCCTCACACAAATGAGCTTCGATCTCTGTTTCACACAAACCAAAGACCTGAATTTCCTGTTCTTTAGGATTCCATTAACACTTTTTCCACTCTACTTTTCACCCTTCCAACAATCAAATTTACCCATGATCATAAAAAATTCCTCACATTTTTTACCGCTAAAATTTTCTTCATTTTACAGAGTATGCACATGCTAGCTAATAATACAAGATTGCAGACAGCTAGTTTCATCTGTACTTGGAAGATTTAACTCGTAGTCATTTCTTCTTCTTTCTAAATTTACCACTACAGAAGAGAGAACCGAACCCGAAAAAACTCACGGTAACTTTGGAAATGTATGGCGGTGGGAGGTTCAGGACAGGGTTGTTTCTAACCCCATTGCCGTAAGATCCACTCCTTCTCAACGCAGGCTTTTGATTCATGTTGTTGTAAGGATAATATGTACTCGAGCACGAGGACGCAGACGACGATCTTCTACTCGAAACCGACGTCTGTTTCCGCAAATGCTGCTGCTTCTGATGAATTGTTGTTGTTCTTTCCTTTGGAGGCAATGCTTGCTTTTGATTTGGGTTTGGAGCCGACCCTGTTGAGTTGCTTCTCGAAAGAAACTGCAGCGGGCGGATTAGGCTCTTGCCGCGGGCAGCGTCGCAGTTGAGGCTGCTGCTCCGCCGGAACTGCCAGAATGGCTTTGCTGTTGGAGGGTTGTCGGTTTCATCTGCATCGGCGTTGGTGTCTAGAAATTCTTTCAACCTCTTCTTCTTCTCCTCTGTTTTCAGCCTCTCTGTATTTAGAGGTTTTGAGTGATGAGCAAGGGCTGGAGGAACTGCCCTCTCACGAGCCTGGCGAGTAACGTCAGGCTGGTGGGTGTCTTCGGCAGCGTTGAGATTTCTCTTGATTTGGACAGGGAGGATCTTCCCATTGGAGAAAAGCTCGTCCGCCGAAGACAACTCCAGCTTGAGATTGTTTACAATGCAGAAGTCGAAATCAGAAGTGGAATCCAAGAGAGAGGAGTCTAACCGTTGCCCTTGGTTCGAGTCATGATTCTTCTTATCCAGATCATGGGAGAATGAAATTCTTGGACTGAATCCGGGGCTCGAAATCTCTGAGCATACCTCAATGGCCATGGTTGCTCCAAAACAACTAACAAAATGTTAACGAATTCAAACAGAAGTGCCTGAAACAAGTTTTAAAATCCAGCAGAGAGCCGAGAATGGCACTGAATGTCGACAGAGTCGGAGTCAAAAGAAACGAAAATTCGAAAGGAATTTGAATTGTGGGAATGAGAAGTCGGAAGCAGCAGCTTTAGCTTTCTCATTTTGCCTGCACTTCGAGCATATCTGAGACATTCCAGCAGCACTGGGAGGATTTCAAAACAATTTGTGCAGATTGCAGAAGTGGTTATATTGCCTTTGCCCCAAAGTTATCAGAACAAAAAGAGAAAGATAAAGAGAAGGAAATCAAACTGGTTTAATTTAAGCACCGAAAGGCTAGATAAGAAGACCCTTATGGGGGTTTCCAATGAAACTTTTACTTTTAAGGGAGAGGAATAACAGAGTGAAAGTGAGGCACTAGGGATTTAAAGTCCAAAAAAGCCATAATTGTCTGTTCGTTTGTACACTTTGTAACTGAACGATTAGGAATTTGTAGATTTTGGGAAAGAGGTTCGTGTTTACCTTAAAAACTATTAAGCTTACGTGATGCGCAAACAAAATAACGAATGAGCTAATTATATCATTCTGATGGACACGGGCATGCCAACTTGCGACCGAGCTCGATCAGCGAGTAAAATTGATGTGGTGGTGGTGTCAATGTGTTGTTGATTTCTGCACTCGAGCAATCACGGTCGAGGAAGGAACATGTCTCGACCTTGGGTTCTAAAACCTAAGGACTAGGTTGCTTAAATCACTTCGAAGTTCAAGATCTTCTGTACTAGGTTCGGCTACCTCGACTATATTCATAAGAGTATAGGTGCGTCGAATCGGCATTAGGCTGTAAGGAAACATACTCAAAAGAGATAAGCGTCTTGATAGTGAATGTTGTTTGTCAAAATGCTGAATCGTGTACCTAGAAATAATCAATCAGAGAACACTTTACTCGACTGGGAAGCTGAATGTAATGACCTCGTTCAGCAAAAGAATCAAAGACTCCTCGCCGGATGAGACTTTGATAGATAATCAACCGAACTTGAAGCAATGTCGTTAATTCAAACTGAATATACATCTTGGTCGCCTGATTCTATGGCTTCAGTTATGTTAATTCAAATTGAAAATGTCGACTATTGTCAACACAGTTCGTTAAATGATGACTAAATAACTTAATAGCTTTTATTATGACTTTTGTATGGTTAAAATGCGTCAATCACAACCAAGCTGATAGGAAGGTGCGCCTATGAATGAATGGACGGAAGTGCACAGATAAAGAAAATAAATTTTTGGCAGGAGCCATCTGATTAAATTGTTCATTTCTGAACTCAATTAGTAATAATCCATGTGAATATTTATATAGTACTGTTATGTATATTCTGCAGATTATAAAAACCCAAAATTCCGATATCTCTGCATGAAAGGGAACAAAAATTGCATGGGGAAAAAGCAACTGGTTTTTGGGGTGGATCTAGTTGATTAATCTTAATATATATTTTTGATATTTAGACAGAAGGTACATTACGATCTAAAAGGTTGCCATTTGGATTAGAAATCCAATTCAGCAAGTTCCAAATTCAAAACTAAAAGGCGACTCCAAAGCAACAAGGTTTCTTGGTCTGTTAATGTCTGAAATGAACGTCATAACATTCATCTTTACTCTTATTTTATAAAGAGATTATTTTTACGATTTAAACCTATGACTTTTCGATCACAAAAAAATAAATTTTCTATTGTGCCAATACTCGCCCTCTTCCAAATGGAAAATAATTTAGAGAAGTAAATCAAAGGTGTGGAATTTGTTGCCTAATTGGTTGGCAGAATATTGATGATTTGATGAGGCAACAATAATGTGTCACGCGATGTAGGGTCAATTTGGGAGTTAGCCCCATAATGTTGTTTTGTATAGGCATTATTTGTTCTGCTCAAACTAGGTGCAACCTTATCCAACAGGATCCTCTCCGGATCTTTTTGGTGAGGATCCTGGGGATATGTAAATCATGTCCGTTCATCGTAAATTGTGTGGTCAGTTTTTGTCAAGTATTGTTCATGTTTATTTTTTAAATAAAAATATTTAAAATGATTTATGATCGCACGATATACGATGAACAAACACGATTCACGAATCTCAGGATCCTCACAAAGAGGATTTGACGAGGATCCGGACTCCAACCTTATTAGGGCAAAGACACAATGAAGTTGTACCAAATCTAAACCTAAAGCTAGGAGAATGATGGGTGATTGAGGCTCATGAGTCAACTATAAACAAATCCTTAAAGCAAAAGTATGTGATCATGTTAGGATGTGAGAGTATTCAACGCAAAAATATGCGGAGAGACTCAAAGTCGTTTGAATTTGATATGTAGGAACATATGGGACAGTTGGACCTGATCACATAAATATTGTGTTAGAATGTTAGCGTCTAACATGAAATCAGTTGGCAAAGTATGAAGAGGCTTAAAATCTTTTAAGCACTTGTATTAGACTTCAATCCTTCCATCGCTCTCAACATAAAGCCAACATGAATTATACATGAATTAGCACTAGATTGAAGTGGGATCCATGATGAGCACCCGCACAAAAGAGACTTCCATAGTGTTGGTTTATTAGGATAGATCTCACATGGGGTAGAACTAAAGTTACATTTGATCAAAATACAGATGATCTTATCCTTTATCATGCAGTTATGTGTTGGATATTTTAAAAAGTATAATATAATGTAAGATATATATATATATATATATATATATTGTTTGACAGATGATGGGATTGGGTCATTGACCCAACAATCACACCATTTTCACATAAACGCTGCACCTTTTCTCTGTTTTGTTGAAAAGGTAGGATGCATCCGAATGCAATTTTCTTGTGTCAGACATATCCATGAAAACATTGTTTCTAGTTGTATCTCATGGTGAGAGGGCACACCCAAAATCAAAGGATATGTCTAAAATGTGCAATTCTCTCTATATATATTGGTAACATTAGTAGAAAAGATTCATTCAGAAATTTGTTGTCTACATAATTTTTGCTCTCTTTTCTCTCTTCATCACATTCATACAATTTCTTTCTAGTTATTTCTAAGGGAATATAATTCGGTTTTGCTAATCGAATATTCCATACTTTGTTGTATCCTGGAAGTGATTTGCCAAGAACCCTTTAGCAAACTCATTCGAGTGGGGGCAAATAACACTTTAAGGAAACGATTCAAGTCGTACCTCAAAGTCATTATTCGGATTATTTTCCATATTTCTATATTTAATCTAACAATCTTAAAGTGTTATTTTCGTCATGGATAACAAATCTGATAACATGGCTTTGAAAATTATCAATCAAGATGTCTACAAGTTAGACAAATTTGATGGATCAAATTTCACCCGATGGAAGGACAAGATGCGTTTCATGCTTACTGTTCTAAATGTCATATATGTGTTGGACCCGAAATTAGCGCCTATTCGTGAACCAAGTGACAAAGACTCGGACAATATAGTTGCCGATCGAAAGAAGCGTGAAGAAGATGAATTGGTATGTCGAGGACACATCTTGGGCACATTATCTGATCGTTTATATGACCTGTATGCACACATTCAATCTCCAAAGGAAATTTGGGAAGCACTTGAACACAAGTACACAACGGAAAAAAGAGGTACCGATAAATTTTTAATGTTCAAATATTATGAATTCACTATGTTTGATAACAAACCCATCCTAGACCAAGTTCATGAATTATTGGTCTTGGTCTCAAAGCTTCGTGAACTTAAAATAGTTATTCCGGATCCTATGATAGTTGGGGCTATTATGGTAAAATTATCCCAAATATGGAATAACTATAGAAAGAAACTTCTACACATGGTGGAAGATATTAGTTTAGAGAATTTGCAAAAGGGTATTCAAATTGAAGAGGAAACTCAAAATCGTGATAAGAATTTTGCAAATCAAGATTTCTCTAAAGTTCACATTGTCGAAGGAAACAAATATAAAAAGAACTTTAAAGTCAAAATTGACAAAGGGAAGTTTAAGAAGACCAATTCCAACAACAATCAAAAGAATGCAAATGGTGTATGCTACCATTGTGGAAAGAAAGGCCATTACATTCGTGATTGTAGACACAGAAAAGCAAGTGAGGAATATGCCAATAAGACCAATAGCGCAAATATGGTGGAAAACTCTAGAATTGATAACATTGTTGCAATGGTATCAATGATGCATGTTGGCATGATTACTGAACTGAATATGGCAGCGGTAATAAAATCCTCCGATTGGTGGCTCGACTCAGGGGCTACTATACATGTGTGCAATGACAAGGCACAAGTCAAGACATATGAAGCATCAACGGACAATCAAGAAGTTTTAATGGGGAATCATAATTCCGCCAAAGTTCTAAGAAAGGGAACCGTTGAACTTCAATTTAATTCTGGGAAGAAATTGACGTTGCTTAATGTACTGCATGTTCCAGAAATTAGAAAGAATCTTGTGTCTGCAAATTTATTATGTAAGAACGGTATAAAGACTGTTCTAGAGTCCGACAAGTTAATAATGTCGAAAAATTGGATGTTTGTTGGGAAGGGATATTCTTGTGATGGGATGTTCAAACTAAGTATCAATAATAAAGTGAATTCTTCTGTTTATATTGTTGAATCTTCCTCTCATTTATGGCATTTGCGTTTAGCACATATAAATTTTAGATCTTTAAAATACATGTGCACACTTGGTTTTATTACTTGCAATGATGATTATAATGATAAATGTGAAACATGTATTCAAGCGAAAATAACTAAGAAACCTTTTCCAACTACCGAAAGAAATACTAATTTATTAGACTTAATACATTCTGACATATGTGAATTTAATGGTGTTTTAACAAGAGGAGGAAAAAGATATTTTATCACATTTATAGATGATTGTTCTAAATTTACTTATGTTTATTTATTGTCTAATAAAGATGAAGCTTTTGAGTGCTTTAAGCGCTATAAGGCTGAAGTTGAAAACCAAAAGGGAAGGAAAATTAAATGCCTTCGTAGTGATAGAGGTGGTGAATATTTTTCACATGAATTTGATATTTTTTGTGAAGAGCATGGTGTTGTACATCAAAGAACTGCACCCTATACACCACAACAAAATGGTTTGGCAGAAAGAAAAAATAGAACACTCACTGAAATGATTAATTCTATGATGATTAATGCTAATACTCCAAAATATTTATGGGGTGAAGCATTGTTTACTGCACGCCATATACACAATAGAATTACATCTATGAAGACACATGTGTCACCATATGAATTTTGGAAAGGAAGAAAACCAAATTTGTCATATTTGAGAGTATGGGGTTGTGTAGCTTTTTATAAGGCACTCGATCCTAAGAGATCCAAGTTGGGTCCAAGAGGAATTAAAAGCATATTTGTAGGATATGCAGAAAATTCAAAGGCATATAGGTTGCTTAATTTAGA